AAATATAATCATGTACACCTGAAATTTATATAATGTAAACCAATGTTACCTCAATAAAAACAATAATAATACATCATGATCAAGAGAGCAGTATCCCAGGAATGCACGGTTGGTTTAACATTTGAAAATCAATGTAATTCACCCTAAGAACAGACTATTTAAAAAAAAAAATCATCTCAGCAGATGCAGAAAAAGCATTTGACAAGATTCAATACCCATTCATGGTAAAAGCTACCAGAAATCTAGGAATAAACTGGAATTTCCTCAGCCTGACAAGGGCATTTACAAAAAACCTACAGCTAACATTATACTTCATTTGTGAAAGACTAAATGGTTACCTGAAAGGTCAAGAACAAGGCAAGGATTTCACTCTAACCTATTCTATTCACCCTACGTTTCAGGTCATAATCAGCACAAGAAAAAGGGAAAAAGGCAAACAATTTTCACATAAAGTAAGCTGTTTTCTCCCCCAACAGATGATATAATTGTTTACAGAGAATCCCAAAAACAGAACTAACAAGCTAAATTTAGTAAGGTCACAAAATATAACGACAATATATAAAATCAACCATATTTCAATAAACTAGCAACAATCAAAAACTGAAATAAAAATATCATTTATATAATAGCTTAAAAATATGAAATACCTAGGGATAAATTTAACAAAATATGAATAACACCTATACAACTGAAAACTATGAAACATAATTAATTGCTGAAATCAAAGAGGACTGAAATAAATGGAGAAACAGATTATGATCATAGATCAGAAGACTCAATATTGTTAAGATATCACTTCTCTCCAAATTTATCTATAGACTAAAAAAAAATTCCAATGAAAATTCTAGCAGGTTTTGTGTAAAATTAATTTTAACATTTATGCAGAAAATGCCCTAAAATAGCTAAAACGATTTGAAAAAGAACAAAATTATATGACTTTAAAACTTATTATAAAGCCATAGTAACCAAGACAGTGGTGTAAAGACAGACATAAAGAATACTAGAACAGGGGCCAGCCCCATGGCTTAGCGGTTGGGTGTGCGTGCTCCATTGCTGGCGGCCCGGGTTTGGAACCCCAATGCACTGCTTGTCTGGCCATGCTGAGGCGGCATCCCACATACAACAACTAGAAGGATGTGCAGCTATGACATACAACTATCTACTGGGGCTTTGGGGAGAAAAAGGAGGAGGATTGGCAATAGATGTTAGCTCAGGGCCAGTCTTCCTCAGCAAAAAAAAAAGAGGAGGATTGGCATGGATGTTAGCTCAGGGCTGATCTTTCTCACAAAAAAACAAATACTAGAACATAATATAAAGTCCAGAAACAGACCCTCACATATACAGCCTATTGACCCTATTGACTTCCACAAAGATATCAAGGCAGTTTAATGCAAAAAGGATAGTCTTTTCAACAAATGGTGCTGGCACAACTGAATATTTATATGTAATCAAAATAAATATTGATCCTTACATCACACCATATACAAAAATTAACGAATTGGATCACAGACCTAAATGTAAGCCCTAAAACTCTAGAACTTTTATCAGAAAATGTAAGAGAAAATCTTAGCTTCTTGGGTTAGGAAAGATTTCTAAATAGGACACAAAAGCTCAAACTATAAAGGAAAAAAATCAGTAAATCTGACTTCATCAAAATAAAAAATTTTGCTCTTCCAAAGATGCTGTTAAGGAAATGAAAAGGTAAGCCACATACTTGAAAATATTTCATATATATATATAGCTGACATAGGTTTTGTGTCCAGAATAAAGAATTTTTACAAATGAATAAAAAGAAGGTAATTCAATAAAAATGAGGAAATACTTGAACACGCAATTCACTAAAGAAGATATAAACATGGCATATAACCACATGAAAAGATGTTCAACATCATTGACAAATAGGGATATGTAAATTAAAATCACAATAAGATACCACTAGACACCCCCTAGAATGGCAAAATTAAAAAAGATTGATGATATCATGCGTTGGCAAGGAGATGGAGCAATTGAAACTTTCATATATTGCTGGTGTGAATACAAAATGGTACAGCCACTTGGGAAAACATTTTGGCAGTTCTTAAAAAGTTAAACATGCAGTGACCATATGAGCCAGTAATTCCATTCCTAGGTATGTAAAAATATGTCTACACAAAGAGCTGTATGTGAATGTTGACAACAGCTTTCTTCATAATGGCCCAAATCTGGAAACAACACAGATGTCCATCATCTAGTGAACAGATAAACAAACTGTGGTATATCCACACCAACTGGGTACTACTCAGCAATAAACAGGAACAAAGGTTTGACCCTGGAAACAAACTAAATGAATCTCTAAGACATTATGCTAAGTGAAAGAAGTCAGACATAAAAACTACATACTGTAAAACTCCCTTTATATGAAATTCTAGAAAAGAGAAGGTAACATGCCAGGAGCCAGCGAGTAGGGGTAGGAATGCCTGACTGCAAAGGGACATGAGGAAACCTTTCAGATTGATGGAAACGTTCTATATTATGATTATGGTGGTGGTTATAAGACTGTATACTTTTGTCAAAACTCATAGAACTGTACACTTAAAAATTGGCAGATTTTACTGTATGTAAACCTGACCTCCCCACACACAAAACTGCAGAAAAGAGTGGCAAAGTGAAAGGGAAAAACTGAGCCCAGAAATAATATGAGGACTTGAGACAAATGCTACAGTTAGCAATTTTTCAATTGTGTTCTGAAAAAGATAAACGAAAGTTTTTAGCAGTATAGCAAACCATTATATTTGTCACTTATATGTAAACCCACCTGAACCAGAGTGTTCTTCTGGGGAATCAACCACTGTAGGAGTTGAACTGAGTGCTGCTGTGGACAACTGAATTTGCTTTTCCTGAGTCTGAATGTCATTAGGTTCAATCTGGCTCCCTTCTGCTGACTGCTGTGACTGGATAAGGGAGATGCAGAACTCTTCCAACTTGGGCAATGTTGAAGAATCTGAAGAACTCTTTCTGTCCGGTTGCTGCAGAATGGGAAAAATGGGGCACAAGCATGAAAAATAACTACTAGTATAAGAGGAAGAATTAGCCTGTTTTGGTTCCTTACTTATAAAAGACAAACATTTTTCATATCATGATTAATAAATAAAACTTTTCACTTTTAAGAACCTAGATACTCTAGAAAAAACAAGTCCCTCTCTAACTTAGTGACCATCAATTCAAGAAAAATTTCTTGAGCACATATTATGAGCAAACACGGTACTGAGTGCTACCATACACAGTTAAGGAAGAGTGGCAGGAAATGAGACAAATAACGTTCAGTGAGCACTCGTCAGGCAGAGTGCTAGGCTATTGGCATGTGTTTCTTCATTTAAACATCAGTACAACCATTCTAGGTTAGGTGTCATGTCTAAAGAAGACATATGGCTTCTTTAAGAAGATTATGGCTTCTTTCACTTAGCATAATGCTTTTTATAAGAGCCTGAGTAGGTTATCCAATGTCAATCAGTAAGTGGCAAGGCAGAGATCTGAACTCAGCCCAGTCTATGTTCTCTGTGCTCCACCACACCACCTCCCAGTACGATATGATCCCTATCCCTAAAGAGCTCATGATCTTCACTTAGGGAAACAGTATATGTGCTGCAGCTAGCCATGAAGGGAGGCATTATCTGCATTCTGCAATGTGAACAACACACTAGGAGAACACAAAGGCGTTAAAGGAAGGCTCCTCAGAAGAAGAGACAAAATGGAGTATTAAGAACCAGTGTTTGAGAGAAAAAAATGAATGTCCCAAATAGATATTAAATTTGGGCTAAAGTGAATGGAGTGCCAAATTTTAACCATTAGATCCTGTATCCTACCTTATAGTCATTGCTGAAGTAGACCGAGTCTGTGGTAACTCAATTGCACTTACTTTCTATGATGTTAACTGCCATTAATATGACTAAAGCGGGCCCTACCAGGTCTAGACTGTAACAACTGACCTAAGTGACTTACAGTCTGGGATGTGCCCAGAGTAAACTGAAACAATAATTATACAAACAGGAAAGGTAGCTTTCTATGTTCTCCAGGCTCATGTGTAGTAGACATTTTACATTAGTTGGCATTCCTCTTTTCTTCCATCACAAAACCTCATTTTCAAACATGACTGGCATGAATGTGGCTTATATAATACGTAGTATACAAATGGCTATGTGTGTCACCTTTGTTTTGACAGAAAAAATGGAACTCTAAAATTCCAGATAGCTATACTGGTCATATAATATGGTACTCCAAGAAACCAAAGACCTGGATTCAAATTTTTGCTTAGTTTATGCATCTCACATGTGTGCTTTAGTTATCCTTTAAGTTTATTCTAACTTACAATGAGGGTTGAGCATTGGTTAGTTCTTTCAATAAAGCTTCAATGACAATTCAGTAAATAAATATTAATACGATAAACTTTTAGACTTGTAAAGATCACTAGTTTAAATCAGTCTTTGCAGATGGACAAACTGAGGCCCCAAAAGGTAACTTGTTCAAACTTGGAAATTTAGTCAATGGTAAAAACTAAGCCCTGGATTATATAACTCCCAAACCAAGTGCTTTTACACTATGCCCTGCTGCCTATTTTCAGTAGTTTAATAACAATCAAAATCATAAATAAATTTTTTAAAGGTTATATCTTTTCTTTCCTCACAAATGTGATTTTGAAGTAAGATGCACTGTTAAAACATACCTAAGACACATTCTGATAGCTTTTCACACTGGAAAAAAACAACATGGGTGAATGCTTTCTAAATCTATATGACACTTTGAAAGCAAGTAGTGAAGTCAATTTAAACACTTAATTGAAAAGCAAGTCTCTTCCTCCAAAGAGTGGTCTACAGCCTTGCTGCTCAAAGTGTGGTTCTTCAATCAGCACCTTCAGAATCACCTGGAAGCTTCTTAGACATGGAGACCCTTAGTCCCCATCCCAGGTTTGCTCAATCAGAATCAGCATTTTCACAAGATTCTCAAGTGATCTGTAGGCACATTACAGTTTGAGAAAGCATTGCTCTCCCAGATTTATCCCTTTGTAGTTATTAATGACTGACTCCCTCATAGACATGTGAAAATATACTTTCATGGAACTAGAGGTCAGTGGCAGACATTCAAGAAACAAGTTCATGATTTCCGAAACACTAACATATACAATCAAAAGCATAGCCCAAAACCAAAACAACATACAACTGCACACCCATTAAGATGGCTATAATTTAAAAAATAGTTAATAACAAGTGTTGGCAAAGATGTGGACAAACTGGAACACTCTTATATTGCTGGTGGAAACGTAAAATGGTGTGGCTGCTTGGAAAAGTCTGGCAATTCCTTAAAACATTCAAGACAGTTACCAAAAGACCAACCAATTCCACTCCCAGGTATATACCTAATAAAATTCAAAACATATGTCCACATAAAAACATGTACATGAATGTCACAGCAGCATTATTCATAATAGCAAAAAACTGGAAACAACTCAAATGTCCATCAGCTGATGAATAAACAAAATGTGGTCTATCCATACAATGGATTATACAGCCATAAAAAGAAATAAAGTACTAGGAGTGATGTCAGCATCATGGTGGAATGAGCTCTCCCCTTAGACTCTACCACCTAAGATACAACAAAAAGGACACTCATATACCAGCATAGGACATTCACACAACACAAAAGACGTCTGAGAGACCCACACAGCCATTCATCAGAAAGTGGAGGGGCTGGACCCCCTGGAGGAAGTGGAAAGAGGTAAGGAGAGCTCCTCTCCCACCCCAGCAGCAACCCTGGGACTGCAGGCAGCTCTGAGAGGAGACGGGGAAGGGTGGCCCTCCGCAGGAACACCATGGCTCTCCAAGTTCCCTCACAGCCAGGAGGAAAGCCCCACACAGAAGTGACCGACCGATTGCAGGGGTTTCTTCATCAAGCTAGCACCTCAGGAGAGCAGACAGTGAAAGAAGAGCAAGATGCCCCTGCGATGGGGCAGGCAAAAGAAAGCCCCTCCCCCCGCCCAGCGCTCCAGCTCAGCCAGTCGGCCAGAGTGCCCGCACATTCCTTAGAAAAGCAGCAGCTACAGAGGCCAGGGATCCCAGCGGGCTCAGAATACACAGCTCTTGACCCCCACCCAGCAGCAGCAGGTGGAAGCCGCGACCAGATACTATCAGTGTGCAGAGACACAAATCCACACCATCAAACAGTATGAAACAATATATATTAAATCTCCAGACCAGAAGGGAAATGACAAGCACCCAGAAATCAATCCTGAAGGCACAGAAATTTATAATCTAAATGACAGAGAATTCAAAATAGCTATCATAAAAAAGCTCAATAAATTACAAGAAAATACAGATAGATAGTTCAATGAAATCAGGAACTTCTTCACAAAAGAGACTGAAACTATAAAGAAAACCAATCAGAAATGTTGTAGATGAAAAACACAATGGAGGAGATAAAGAAAAAACTAGAGTCTTTAAATAACAGAGCTGACAACTCGGAGGATAGAATTAGCAATCTAGAGGATAGGAATACAGAAATGCTCCAGATGGAGGAGGAGAGAGAAGTAAGACTAAAAAGAAATGAAGAAATTCTCCAAGAAATATGCAATTCAATGAGGAAATGCAACATAAGGATTATAGGTATTCCAGAGGGAGAAGAGAGGGAAAAAGGATCAGAGAGCTTGTTCAAAGAAATAACAGCTGAGAATTCCCAAACCTGGGGAAGGAGCTGGAAATACAAGTGAATGAAGCCAATAGATCGCCTAACTATATCAATGTAAAAAGACCCTCTCCAAGGCATACAGTAGTAAAGCTAGCAGAAGTCAATTACAAAGAAAAAATATTAAGGGCAGCAAGGCAGAAAAAAATAACATAAAAAGGAACCCCTTTGAGGCTTTCAGCGGATTTCTCAGCAGAAACCTAACAGGCTAGAGGAGAGAATGGAATGAAATATTCAAAATTCTGAAAGACAAAAACTTTCAGCCAAGAATACTCTACCCGGCAAAAATATCCTTCAATATGATGGAGAAATAGAAACTTTCCCAGACAAACAAAAGCTAAGGGAGTTCATTGCCACAAGACCCCTCCTACAAGAAATGAATGAGAAGGCCCTCATACCTGAAAAATAAAAAGAAAGAGGAGGCAAAGCCTTGAGCAAGGAGAAAAATCAGAAAAATTGTAGCTCTCTGTCAGAACAGCTTAGCAAACAATTATAACATCAAAGATAAAGGAAAGGAAAACACCAAAAATAAATATAATCTTATCATTTTAACCACAAACCCACAACACAAGATGGCATAAGTTGGAATAAGTTATGACAATAAAATAACTTAGAAGGGGAAGAGGAAAGGGATGAAATCAACTTAGTCTAAGGAAATTACGAGGCTATCAGAAAATGGACTATCTCATCTATGAGATTTTTTATACAAACCTCATGGTAACCACTAAACAAATAATCAGAACAGAGACACAAATGATAAATAAAGAGAACACTAAGAAAACCATCATAGGGAGTTACCAAACTGAATTGGTAGTCCAAAACACATGGGATGAGAAACAAAGGAAATGCAGAACTGGAAAATGAGCAATAAAATGGCAGCATTAAGCCCTCATATATCAATAATCACTCTAGATGTAAATGGATTGAATTCCCCAAAGACACAGAGTGGTGGAATAGATTAAAAAATAAGACCCAACAATATGCTGCCTCCAGGAAACACATCTCAGCTCTAAAGACAAACACAGGCTCAGAGTGAAGGGATGGAAGACAATACTCCAAACTAATGGCAAAAAAAAGAAAGCAGGCATTGCCATACTTATATCAGACAAAGTAGACTTCAAGATTAAACAGGTAATGAGAGACACAGAGGGGCAATATATGATGATAACAGGGACACTCCACCAAGAAGATATAACATTTATAAGTATATATGTACCCAACACAGGAGTACCAAAGTCCATAAAGCAACAATTAATAAACCTAAAAGTAGATATTAACAACAACACAATAATAGTAGGGGACCTTAACACCCCACTTACATCAATAGATAGACCATCCAGACAGAAAGTCAATAAGGAAATAGTGGAATTGAACAAAAAACTAGACCAGATGGACTTAATAGATATATATAGACTACTCCCATCCAATCACAGTGGAATACACATTCTTCTCAAGTGCACATGGAACATTCTCAAGGATAGACCATACGTTGGGAAACAAGGCAAGCCTCCATAAATTTAAGAAGATTGAAATCCTAACGAGCATCTTTTCTGACCATAATGCTATGAAACTAGAAATCAACTACAAGAAAAAAACTGGGAAAGTGACAAACATGTGAAGACTAAACAACATGCTACTGAACAACCAGTGGATCACTGAAGAAATTAAAGGAGAAATCAAAAAATATCTGTAGACAAATGAAAATACACCATACAATCTCACATGGGATGCAGCAAAAGCAGTCATGAGAGGGAAATTCATAGCAATACAGGCCCACCTTAACAAACAAGAAAAATCTCAAATAAGCAAACAAACTATATCTAACAGAATTAGAAAAAGAAAAACAAAGCCCAAAGTCAACATATCAAGGGAAATGATAAAAATCAGAGTAGAAATAAATGAAATTGAACCAAAAAAAAAACAAAAAAAAAACAGTAGAAAGGAACAATGAAACAAAGAGCTGGTTCTTTGAGAAGATACACAAAATTGACAAACCCTTAGCCAGACTCACTAAGAATAAAAGAGAGAAAGGTCAAATATATAAAATTAGAAACAAAAGAGGAGAAATTACAATGGATACCACAGAAATACAAAAGATTATAAGAGAATACTATGAACTATATGCCAACAAATTGGACAGTCTAAAAGAAAAGGATAAATTCTTAGACTCATACTACCTCCCAAAAGTGAATCAAGAAGAAATAGAGAATCTGAAGAGACCAATCACAAGTAAACAGATTGAAACAGTAATCAAAAACCTCTCCAAAAATAGGGCCCAGCCCCGTGGCTGAGGGGTTAACATCCCACAGGCTCCGCCTTGGCAGTCTGGGCTCGTGGGTTAGGATCCCAGGTGTGGAAATACTCCACTCACCAGCCACACTGTGGCGGTTCCCACATACAAAAAAAAATAGAGGAGGGTCGGTACAGATGTTAGCTCAGGGCTAATCTTCCTCAAACAAAAAGAGAGGAGGACTGGCAACGGATGTTAGCTCAGAGTGAGTCTTCCTCAGCAAAATAAATAAATAAATAAAATTTAAAAAATATTTTAAAAAAGAAAAAAAGGAAAATCTCCCCAAAATTAAATGTCCAGGACCAGATGCTTCTCCGGAGAAATCAACCAAACTTTCAAAGAAGAGTTAATATCTATCCTTCTCAAACTATTCCAAAAAACAGAGGAACATGGAACATTTCCTAACACATTTTACGAGGCCAACATCACCCCGATACCAAAGCCAGACAAGGACAATACAAAGAATGAAATTTACAGGCCAATATCACTGATGAACGTAGATGCAAAAATCCTCAACAAAATATTGGCAAACCGAATACAGCAATATGTTAAAAAGATCATACATCATGATCAAGTGGGATTTATACCAGGGACAAAGGGATGGTTCAACATCCGCAAATCAATCAATGTGATACACCACATTAACAAAACGAGGAATAAAAAGCACACGATCATCTCAACAGATGCTGAGAAAGCATTTGACAAGATCCAACTTCCACTTATGATAAGGATGCTAAGAGTAGACAATGGGGAAAGGATAGTCTGTGCAACAAATGATGTTGGGAAACCTGGATATCCACATGCAAAAGATGAAACGGGACACTTATCTTACACTATACACAAAAATCAACTCAAAATGGATTAAAGACTTGAACATAAGACCTGAAACTGCAAAACTCCTAGAAGAAAACATAGGAGAAAAGCTTTATGACGTTGGTCTTGGCAATGATTTACTGGAAATGAAACCAAAAGCACAAGTAACAAAAGCAAAAATAAACAAGTGGGACTACATGAAACTAAAAATCTGCACAGCAAAGGAAACAACACAATCACAATGACCACATACTGTATGACATTTATATGAAATGCCTCAAATAGGCAAATCTATAGAGACAGAAAGTAGATTAGTAGTTGCCTAGGGCTGTGGGAGGATGGGCAAGAGGTGTGACTGCTAATGGGTACTGCATTTTTTTGAAGAAGTGATGAAATGTTCTAAAATGAATTGTAGTGATGGTTGCACAAGTCTGTGTATACTAAAAATCACCTGAATTGTACACTTTAAATAAGTGAATTACATGGTATGTAAATTGTATTTCAATAAAGCTGTTATTTCTTAAAAACAAACTACATGAGAAACAAAATATAAAAGTCTATTTTATCCTAAAACTAAATCCATGCTCTCAAGCAACCTATGTTTCTGGAACAGACTATTCTATGTAATACAGCATATGTTATCACTGCTCTCACACGAAGTAACCACATTCTGTAGGAAATATATCACTCAGAAGGTTCATCTTCCAACAAATCTGCTTTTCAACAAGTGTCCTAGACTTGAGTCCTTTATTTTCAATGTAACACACAAAAGTACAGAGGCCTGGTAGCCAAATTTCATGATTCACACAAATTGTCCCACTGTTTCCAGAACACATGATATATCTGAGAAACACAAAAGAAATGGATTTTGTTCCACAGTTAGTGCTGCCAAAGCGACATAAAAGAAAAACTCGCCTAGATGATAGGACAGATACAGAGCTTATGAAAATACCTATTTTCTCTATCCTAATACGGAGTTTAATCAGTATTTTAAATCTAGGCTCAGGATTTTCTTCTGAATAGATGAATAAATATATTAAGTTAATTGAAACTAATGTTGAAATCAACATACATTTTATGTGTATGTATTCTACCAAATGCTAAGAAAGGGATCATTAACCAGAATTTTACCTTCTAGAAATGAAAGCATTTCCTCATGAGAACCTGTCACAATAACATCTTAGACATTCACCTTTTGAATTCTAGTTGTGTCTGTATTGTCTTCCTGAGCACCTAGTCTTGGTTTTTGAACTTCTACTTTCATTCCATTCACAAGGCCTGAAGGCTGCCACGAATCATCCCATATATCTTTGGGCATAGAAAAACACCAATCCTACAGAGAAAAAATTGCAACAATAAACTGAAATATAGTGCCACATGATCCAAACAGAAAATAGCGGGAAAAGTAAAGGTAAGCAGACAATGTATATCAAACAAGAAAAGGTATTTATTAACTTTCTACAGTCAGTGTGACTTTTCCCCCTCACTTTATTGGTCCATAACCAATACCCTGAATTCTTTTGAACACATGGATCTCATAAAAACAAATACAACTCTGTTTATAGTATTTTGTTGAATACTGTTTTCATGGCTAAATGATTTTTCATGATCACCTAGTATTTAAATGGCACTAATAACAAGGAGCAACTGAACTGTAGATATTTCTTCTAATAACTGTAGGAAATAAATTAAATTTTAAATAGATAGGCCCAACATTAGCAAATATTTTCACTGCAGAGATCCAGAGGTTATATTACAAGGCTGACGCAACAAAAATAAAATTAGGGAAAACAAGTTTCTTTATTTACAGATCCTAAGGCCTTGACTAGGTGTGAAGGATAAAACAAAAATCATAATGATTGAAAGGGTAGATGGGCACAAAAAGTCCATGGTTTATTCTCTCCTGCTTCATCCTGTCCCCCTCCCTAGCACTACCATCTTTGGGGGAAAAAATGCATTCTTCTGAATTACTGTCTGATAAATCCTTTTGAATTCCAGAATGTATAGCTTTCTTGAGGCTTGGACGATTTACATTTCTTTTCAATAGTGATTTGCTCTCTGTTTTCCCAAGGATCTAACCTTCTGTGGCACTTCTTCACAGGATGGATATGGTTTCTTTCTGTCAAGGCTTGAGGTAAATAAGTGGGAGGCAGCATCACCTCCATTCCCTATTTTAGCCTGTAAAAGTAACCAGTTCTCATCCCAAATATCATCATCTATGGTCACTGACTCCAGGCACGGCATTCCAGTGGGGATCTCATCCTAGAACGTATCAGAAGACAAAGAAAAACTTTAATTTACAGTTCCTGTAAAAGTACATATTAAAATTTAGGTTTACAATTTTTTTTCCTGATTCCAGGTAAAGATAGTAGTTTGAATACACAATTTATTACTCTCTCCCTCCTCAAACATCACCAAAATAAAGAGACTTAAGGCATAAACTCATAGTCAAAGAGAACAGAAGAGGAGAAAATACCATCTACATTCTGGATACAGGAAAGCAGACAAATGCCAACTTATTAAGAAGTCTTAAGAAACTGGAATCCTGAGCTTGTAGCAGAAAAAACTGAGAAGCAACCCAAATTTATACCACAGATAACTGCAAAAGCTCAGGAAATGCTAGTACAAAGGTGTTTGGAAGTGAGAGTGTAAAGTGGGGATGAAAACAAGAGCACTGGTTGAAAGTCTGTGTAAGAAGCAATTAGATCTCCAGATACTCTCCCCTATTTCAAGGACTCAGGAACTATACCTCTTCTTCCCGCTAGAGGGTCTTCTGGAGGGTAAAACTGAGGGTGGAGCAAGCATAATACAAACAGCAGAATTAAGTGAAGGTTTTTATATTGAACATGAGATCCCTGACTCTCTTTTCAATAGGAGGACAGAAATGAGAATAAAGAATGCATAAACTTGAAGACAGAGCCATACAAGTTATCCAATCTGAACAACGGGGAGAAAAAAATTGGGAAAAAAATAAACAAACAAAAAACAGAGCCTCAAGGACCTGTGGAAAAATATCCAAAGGTTTATTTTAACATTTGGGTCATCAGAGTCCCAGAAGGAAAAGAGAAAGAGTGCAGTGCAGAAAAATTATTTGAAGAAATACGTCTGAAAACTTCCCAAATTTAGTGAAAGACATAAACCTATAGATTCAAAAAGTTTAACAAACCTCAAACAGGATAAACCCAAAGAAATCATGCCTAGATGGATTATAATCAACCTGCTGAAATCTATAGACAAAGAAACTATCTTGAATGTAGCCAAAGAAAAATGACACATTATTATAGAGGAACAATTTCAATACTGCATATTTTGCATCAGAAATCACAAAAGCCAAAAGGAAGTAGAATGAAAATTTTTTTTTTAATCCTTTGCTTTTTTTTTTTTTATTTTTATTTATTTATTTATTTTCCCCCAAAGCCCCAGTAGATAGTTGTATGTCATAGCTGCACGTCCTTCTAGTTGCTGTATGTGGGACTCGGCCTCAGCATGACCGGAGAAGCAGTGCGTCCGTGCGAGCCCGGGATCCAAACCCGGGCCGCCAGCAGTGGAGCGCACTCACTTAACCGCTAAGCCACAGAGCTGGCCCTAGAATGAAATTTTTAAAGGGCTGAAAGAAAAGAACTGGCAACCCAGAATTCTATATCAAGCAAAAATATCCTTCAAGAATGAAGATGAATAAATACATTCTCAATGAAGAAAATGAAGAAAACGAAAAGAATTCACTGTCAGCAGACCTGCCCTAAAAGAACCGCTAAAGGAAGTTCTTTGGACAGAAAGGAGAAAATACCAAAAAGAAACTGGAATATCAGAAATAAAGGAAGAACAACAGGGATGGTAAATATCTGGGTAAATATAATAGACTATTCTTTTCCTCTTGAGTTTTTTGGAATATGTTTCAAAGTAGAAAGCAAACTACATATTAGAAATTTTCAACATACATAAATGTTATATATAAATATAACATAAAGAAGGTAAGAAGGGGTAAAAGACCTATATGGTCATAAGATATCTACATTCCACTTGAAGTGGTAAAATACTGATTAAGTCCACTGTGAAAAGTCAAAGATGTATATTGTAATTCCTAGAGTAACCACGAAAAAACTATACAAATAGATACAATAAAAATATAAGTCAATTAAAATTTAAAAATAATAAAATAATAGACCTAAAATCAAAACTTACCAATAATGATATTAAATGTAAATGGTCAAAACATACTAATTAAAATTCAGGTTGTCGGAATGGGTAAAAATTAACCAAACTATATGCTCTCTCAAGAAATTTACTTTGAATGTAATGATGATAGAAGTAAAAGGATGGAAGAAGATATACTATGCAAACACTAAAAAAAAACAAGTTGGAGTGGCTATACTGTATCAAACAGTGTAGGCTTCAGTGCAAAGAAAGTAACCATGGATAAAGACAGACATCTCATAATGATAAAAGAGTCAATTCACCAAGAAAACATAACAAGCCTAAATGGATAGCATGTAACACTAGAGCTTCAAAATACATAAAGTAAAAACTGACAGGAAGAAAGGAAAAATAGACAAAATCCAAGATTACAGCTGATTACTTCAACATTCTTCTCAGTAATTGCTAAACTAGTAGACAGCAAGGATACCGAAAAACTAAATGATAACATCAATCAACTGGATCTCACTGACATTCATAGAACACTCTACCCAATAAAAGCAGAATATGCATTCTTTTCAAAGGCACATGGGACATTCACCAAGATAGACCATATCCTATGTCAACAAAACAACCTTAACAAATTTAAAAAAACTGAAATAATATGAAATATGTTCTCAGATCATAATAGAATTAAACTATAAATAAATGAGAGAAAAATAATAGGAAAATCTCCAAACACTTGGAAATTAAACACTATACTCCTAAATAATCCATGGGTCAGAGATGATATCTCAAAAGAAATTAGAAAATATTTGAACTGAACGAAAATACAATATATTCAAACTTGTGAGATGTAGCTAAAGTTACATCTTAGAGGGTCACAGCATGAAATGCTTATATTAGCAAAGAAGAAATCAACAATGTAGGTTTCCACCCTAAGAAATTAGAAAAAGAAAGCAAAATAAACCCAAAGAAAGCAAAAGAAAAAGAGAAGACATCAATGGACTTGAAAACAGAAAAACAAGAGATAAAACCAATGACACCAAAAGTTAACACTTTGAAAAAAATTCAATGAAGTTGATAAATGTCTAGTAAGACCGACAAAAAAGAAAAGAGAAGACAGCAATTGCCAATATCAGGAATGAACGAGGAGGTTCTCACTACACACCCTGCATTCAACAACAGGATAAGGGAATACTATGAACAACTCTACACACAGAATTGACAAATGAAATGAACCAATTCCTCAAAATCATAAAATATCAAAAACTAACCCAAGATGAAACAGTCAACTTTAATAATCCTGTATCTATTAAAGCAATTGATTTTATAGTTTAAATCCTTCTGAAAAAAAATATCTCCAGGGGCTGGCCCCATGGCCAAGTGGTTAAAGGTCTGCATGCTCCACTTCGGCGGCCCGGGTTCGCAGGTTCGGATCCCGGGCACAGACCTGCATCACTCACCAGTCATGCTGTGGCAGCGTCCCACACACAAAGTAGAGGAAGACTGGCACAGATGTCAGCTCAGGGCCAATCTTCCTCAGGCAAAAAAAAAAAAAAAAACGTGAAGATTGGCAACAGATGTTTTCTGAATCTTCCTCAGAAAAAAGAAGAAGAAAAAAAAATCTCCAGGTCAGATGGCTTCACTGAAGTAAGCTACAGAACATTTAAAGAATTAACCCCCCCTCACCCGGCAAAAGAACCCGATTTTACATAATCTCTTCCAAAATACAGGAGAGAACACTTCCCAACTTATTTTATGAAGACAGTATCACCCTGATACCAAAACCATACAAAGACAGTACCAAAAAAAGAAAACTATAGACTACTATTGCTCATGAAGTGAGACACAAAAATCCTCAATAAAATGTTAGCAAGCTGAACCTAACAACATATAAAAAAAATAGGTATGCAAGGGTAGTTTAACATTTTAAACTCAATCAATGTACCTCACTATATGAACAATCTGAAGAAGAAAAATCATATGATTATATCTGCGATATTGTGATTTATAAGAAATAAATATATTTAGTCCTTCAGATGACTGAAATGTATTTCTCAGATATATCTGGTCTTCATCCAAGTTCCTGGCTCACAGCTCCCCAAACCCCTGGAATATGCTGAGCAATAAGAGCAATGGGCACATCTTTTGTTACAATATTTGGTGTCTTGTCCTCACTTCCTGAGAACGCTTCAAGGCCATAAAGGTGAAATGGTGTCTCCTTTATGTTAATGAAGGCGACTTCTGGACCTGACCCAAGGGTGGGGGCTGGTCGCCAGGAGAACCAGCCCTGTGAACAGAGGATTGGAACTTTCAGGCCCACCTCCTGATTTCCGGGGAGGAGAAGGGGGGCTTGAGGTTAAATCCATTGCCAATGGCCAATGACTAAGTCAATCGTGATTTATAATCACTCCAAATAACATGAAATACTTAGGTATATACCTAACAAAACACATATAGTGACAACACCAAATGCTGATGAGCACAGAGAGAAACCGGATTACTCAATACATTGCTGAAGGGATTGTAAACTGGTACAGCCACTCTGGAAAACAGGATGGCAGTTTCATGTGAACTAAACTTGTAATCACCATACAACAGAGCAATTGCACTCCTGGGCATTTATTCCAAAGAGCTATGTTCACACAACAACCTGTACACAAATGTTCATAGCAGCTTCATTTGTAATAGCTAAAAACTGGAAACAGCCTAAATGTCCTTCAACGGGCTAATGGTTAAACAAACTGTAACCATACATGCCATGGAATACTACTCAGCAATAAAAGGAACTAACTATTGATACATGCAACAACTTGGATGGACCTCCAGGGAATTATACGGGGCCAATTTCCAAAGGTCACAACATACTATATGATTTCATTTACATAGCCTTTGTTTTTTTTGTTTGTGAGGAAGATTAGCCCTGAGCTAATATCCGATGCCAGTCCTCCTCTTTTTCGTTGAGGAAGATTAGCCCTGGGCTAACATCCATGCCCATCTTCCTCTACTTTATATAGGACGCTGCCACAGCATGGCTTGACAAGCGGTGCATCGGTGCGCGCCCGGGATCTGAACCTACGAACCCTCGGGCCACCGCAGCGGAGCGCGTGCACTTAACTGCTACACCATCGGGCCAGCCCCTACATAGTTAAATGACAAAATTTTAGAAATGGAGAACAGATTAGTGGTTGCCAGGAGTTAGGGATGGTGAAGAGAGGGGTGGTGGGAGAAAGATGGGTGTGGTTATAGAAGGGGAACCCAATGGATCCTTGTGATGATAGACTTGTTGATCATCTTGACTGTGCTGTTGGATATGTGAACCTACACATGTGTCAGTAAATATACATACACACAAATAAGTACAAGTAAAACTGGGGAAATCTGAATAATACTGGTGGATTGCCTCAATATCAATATCCTGGTTGTGATACTGTACTACAGTTTTGCAAAATGTGACCACTGGGGGAAGTGGGTAAAGATTACATGGGATCTCTGTATTATTTCTTATAACTGCATATGAATCTTCAGTTATCACAATAAAAATGTCAATTAAAAAATAGAAATAAATTAAATTCTACATTATCTTTTCCAGAAAAGAGAGAGAGAGGAACACCTCTGGACTCATTTTATGAGTCCAGAATTACTCTGGTACTAAACCAGGCAAGTACAAGAAAACTAGAGACCAATATTCTTCATGAAAATGGATGTAAAAATCTTGAACAGAATATTGGCAACTGGAATCCAGCAACATATAAAAAGAATAACACACTATGACCAAGTGGGGTTTATCCCAGGAATGCCAATCTAATTCAATATTTGAAAATCAATTAATATACCATATTAATAGAATAAAGGAGAAAACAACATGATCATATCAATATATGCAGAAAAATCATTTAATAAAATTCACATTCATGCACGCATGATAAAACCTCTCAGCAGGATAACAAAGATGTTCTCTCTCACAACTCCTGTTCAACACCATATCTGAAATCCTAGCCAGTGTAACAATAAGGCAGGAAGAAAGATAAAGACATACAGATTAGAAAGGAAGAAATAGTGGGCTGGCGCGGTGGTATAGTGGTTAAGTTTGCACACTCCACTTCAGCAACCCAGGGTTCATGTTCGGATCCCAGGCGCAGACCTACGCACCGCTTATCAAGCCATGCTGTGGCAGGCGTCCCACATATAAAATTGAGGAAGATGGGCACGGATGTTAGCCCAGGGACAATCTTCCTCAAGCAAAAAGAGGAAGATTGGCAACAGATGTTAGCTCAGGGCCAATCTTCCTCACCAGAAAAAAAAAAAAGAAAGGAAGAAATAAAACTGTCCTAATTAGCAGACAACATTATTGTTGAAGTAGAAAATCCCAAAGGAATCTACAAAACACCTCCAAGAACTAAAAAGTGAGTTTGGCTAGGTCACAGGATACAAGGCCACAACACAAGAATCAATTTCTACACACTAGCAATGAAAATATGGAAATTGAAATAATAAGATATCATTTACAATCACTCCAAAAATAAATGAAATACTTAGGTATAAAGCTAACAAAACATGTTCTGTATATTGAAAATTGTAACACCCTGATAAAAGAATAAAAGAAAATCTAAATAAATAGACATATTGTGTTCACAGATTAAAGATGTTAATTCTCCTCAAGTTTACCTACAGATTTAATGCAATTCCAATCAAAATCCCAGATATAAATAAGTTGATTCTAAAATTTAAATGGAAAGGAAAAGGAACTAGAATATTAAAAATAATTTTGAAAAAGAAGAATCGAGTAGGAGGAATCATACTACCTGACTTTAAGAAGTATTATAAATCTACAACAATCAAGATAATGTGGTACTGGTGAAGGGACAGACATATAGATCAATGGAGCAGATAAGAGTCTAGAAATAGACTCACACAAATATGAACAACTGAATTTTGGTAAGTCTACAAAAGCAATTCAACGGAGAAAGCATAGTCTTCTCAACAAACGGTGCTAGAACAACTGGACATCCATAAGCAAGGAATCGAGTCTTGACCTAAACCTCCATCTTATACTAAAATTAACTCAAGATGTCTTTACATTGAAAACACTGTACATAAAAGAAAAAAACTGATAAACTGGACTTTCTCAGAATTTAAAACTTTTGCCATATGAAAAAACACTATTAAGAGAATGAAAGACAAACTACAAGTGGGAGAACATATTTGAAAATCACACAGTATCCAGAATATGCAGAAAACTCTCAAAACTCAACAGTAAGAAAACAAATAACCCAATCAAAAAATGGACAAATTACTTGAACAGACATTTCACCAAGAAGCAAATATGGATGGCAAGTAAGCACGTGAAAAGATGTTCAAAATCACAGTCATTAGGGAAATGCAGATTAAAACCATACTGTGATACCACTACACACCTGGTTAGAATGGCCAAAAATAAAAATTACTGACAGCACCAAGTGCTTTCTAAGATATGGAGCAACTGAAACTCATACATCGCTGGCGGGAATGCAAAATGGTACAGCCAATCCGGAAAACAGTTGGACATACACTTACCACACGACCTAGTAATCCTACTCCTGATTATGTTCACAAAAAACCTGTACAAGAATATTTACAGAAGCTCTATTCAAAATTACCACCTGGAAACAACCCAAATGTCCTTCAATGGGTGAATGGATATACAAGCTGTGGTATATCCATACAATAAAATATTACTCATCATCAAAAGAAATGAACTACTAATACATGCAAAAATTTGGATGAATCTCAAAGGTACTATGTTGAATGCAAGAAGCCAGTCTCAAAAAGTTACATACCTTATGATTCTACTTACACAACAGTCCTAAAAAGGTAAAACTATAGTGACAGAAAACAGATCAATGGTTGCTAGGGGTTAGGGATTTGGGAAGATTGTGATTATGAAAGGGTAGCACCAACGAGTTTTTTTCAGGTGATGGAACCATTCTGCATCCTGCTTATGATTATCGATGGTGGTTACACAAATCTATACATGTATTAAAATTGATAGGATCGTACTCCAAAAATAAAGTCAATATGACTGTATGTTGATTTAAAAAGAAAGAAATATTAACACTAGAGAAAATGAATTTATGCAGGAAAGGAAAGTTGCCATAACATACTAGTTGGCTGTGAATAGTATTTACAGAGTCATAATAATGTAAATACTGAATAGTGATCTAACAGAAAGTTTGATCTAACTATATAAGTAAGATGGTGGGTGGGGACAGAAGGGTATGTTTGTGTGTGGTGAGGGTGAAGGGATGAAAGAGAACTAAACCCTCATTCTTCATAGTGGGAAAACCATACACACTTAAAACTGAAAAATTAGAAAATAACAACATGAGCATGTTATTTAATGAAAGAAAGAGAGGTAAATCCCAAAAGCAGCAGCTAAAAGAGATGAAAATGTTGCTCTGTGACACAGGAAATGTAGGGGAACGGGTTATGGGGGACTCTAAGCTATGTGTACATAAACATTTGGTTAAAATAAAAATAAAGTATGTTCTCCAAAAAAGTTGTCGACATTTTTCCTGATAGGTTTTCCTAGTATTGTTTCTTATTGAGAAACACTAGTTTCTAATCACTGCATAATTCTTGAAGACTGCCCAAAGCTAGGGAATAGTAACCAACACATCAAAGCCAGATAATGCCTTTTCTTTTTTGTTATCAAAGCTATGTTGCTTCAACTTTGGTCTTGGTGACTGTTGAAGAGGGAATTTGTAATTCATCTGTGGGAGATCTCTGATGGCACTGAATGCAGTAGGGTTAACAGCTATTTTATTCCAGTCCCCTTCACTTATGAATTAATTATATTACATTAATTACATTTTCAAAAAATATCTTTCGTTCTCCTACCTCATTTTCTTCCTTCAGATCCTTTAGCTCGGGGATGGACCACTTTGGATCTCCTTCACAGCTCTTATCTTGGGTTTTCAAAGAACTGAATTCAGAATCCTTTGGCTCCTTTGACTCAGATTTAAGGTGACTGAAAGCCTTTTCAGCATTAATATCTTGCTAAGAGATATGAAAGAGAAGTTATTTTATTTTCTATACTAATGCTGTTTCCAAGATCTACATGTCTATAAATTCTGGCGGGAATTTTTTGCTATGGTTTATACAAATGCTACCTTATTTTCTAACTTTATCCATGACTTCAGGTCTTCCCATCCTACTAAACTAGTTCAAGACAACAAACGTTTATTGAGCACATATTATGAAATGTGTACAGGGTAGCTCTGTGGATATAAAGATGAATGCAACAGGTCCTACCACTAAAGGAACTCAAAATATAGCAGAAGACACAGAATCAGATAATCATAGCACAACCTTCAGTGTAGAGCCATCACAGAGATATGACCAAAATATCATTTGGGGAGGAGGACTCCCCAAATAATATTTGGGGGAGATGAATGAAGTAGATAATAGAAACTGTTAGGATGCTTAAAAGAAGAGTAGAAATTACAGGGAACTAGGTGTATAGATGTAGGTATATATGTGTGTAGTACGTGGGAGTCTTGATATGTTAAATATAGGCTGGGGTGGAATAGGGAAGTTTTAAGCCTTATCTCTTTTGCAGAAAAGATGCCCTTATTTCATTTTCTGGACTGAACTATGATTATTTAAAGACATCAACAGAATAATGATAGGATATTCTAGAAATTTTTAAGGTTGAATTCAATTCACTATACAAGAATCAGGAAATATAACTGTTCTAATCAACTAACCATGACTAAGAAAAATTCAGGCTTCAGCAAGTCATTTGTTATGGGCCAAACAAGCCCAATTAATTTTAACATAAACTAGAAATCTAAAATCCCTATGTTGTTTTAAACATGCAGCAGTAGAGGCTGGCCTGGTGGCATAGTGGTTAAGTTTGTGTGCTCTGCTTTGGCGGCCCGGGGTTGACAGGTTCAGATCCCAGGCGCAGACCTACGCACCGCTCATCAAGCCAGGCTGTGGCGGCGTCCCACATACAAAATGGAGGAAGATCAGCACAGATGTTAGCTCAGGGCTAATCTTCCTCAGCAAAAAGAGGAAGACTGGCAACAGATGTTAGTGCTCAGGACCAATCTTCCTTACCAAAACAAAACAAAACAAAAACATGCAGCAGTAAACATTCATACATATTTTTCAGAGCAGATTAATCTCCCAGTAGTCAAAATGGCCTTTCATCTTGTCTAGTAAGTAGTAAACGTCTACTAAAAAAGTAAGGTCATCTCTACAATTTTATTTTAAAAGTCAGATACATAAATCATACTTAAAATAATATTTTCATATTTTATTCAAAGAAAATAAAAAGCCTTGTTCTGTACAAAAAACACATTTTTGGCTCTCAAACTCAACATATCCTATATTCTTAGCCCAGTACTTGCTGTCATAAGGAATATAAGACTCAGGGGACACATCTGTTTATTTGTTCATTTGTTGAAAAATCATTTAAGGGGCTGGCCTGGTGGCATAGCGGTTAAGTTCGAGCACTCTGCTTTGGCAGCCCAGGGTTTGCAGGTTTGGATCCCGGGCGCGGACCAACGCACTGCTTGTCAGGCCATGCTGTGGCGGCATCCCATATAAAGTAGAGGAAGATGGGCACGGATGTTAGCCCAGGGCCAATCTTCCTCAGCAAAAAGAAGAGGATTGGCATCAGATGTTAGCTCACAGCTGATCTTCCTCACACACACACACACACACACATACACACGTCATTTAAGTTCTTAGTATGTGCTTCACTTTACTCACATCTAAAATGGGGATATGAAAGCACCAACCTGCTAAGGTGGTTGTGAAGATTAAATTAACTAGTACATGCGAGCGATTAGAACAGTGCCTGCCATGTAGCCTAAGTTCAATAAATGTTGCTGTTGTTGAGATTTTTTTATTATTACTACCGTGGGCTGGAATAACACACCATAATAACGTTATTATCATTATTGTTATTCCTGTGGGTGGAAGTTGCCAAAAGGTTTACAGAGAAAGTAAGGTATCAGAACACTTGACGAAGAATCTGAGGAGTGTACAAGGAAGAACTCTGAAGAGCATCTAGACTAGTGCAGGTGAAGTCACAGCAGCACCAGGGCCTCAGTGGAACTTAGCATACGAGAGAAATCTTACAGGAAGAAGCAGGACTGAAGCAAGGGTTTAAACCAGCAAATAACAAAAGAGAAGGTAACTGTTAAGATCACTGTGTGATGGGGCCGGCCCAGTGGCACAAGCGGTTGAGTGCGCGTTCCACTGCGGCGGCCCGGGGTTTGCCAGTTCGGATCCCGGGTGCGCACTGATGCACCGCTTGTCAGGCCATGCTGTGGCGGTGTCCCATATAAAGTGGAGGAAGATGAGGCACGGATGTTAGCCCAGGGCCAGTCTTCCTCAGCAAAAAAAAGGAGGATTGGAAGATGTTAGCACAGGGCTGATCTTCCTCACCAAAAAAAAAAAAAAAAGATCACTGTGTAAAGTTTCAAAACTTTCCCAGGTGTGGAAAGCCTCAGTTTCTTTATCTATAAAATAAGGATAATTACAGTAACTGTGTTACAGGGATTTTATGAATATTAAATAATGTATCATATTTAAAGTGCTTTTTATAGTGCTTGGCATACAGTAAGTACTCATTAAATGTTAACAAAAATAAAAATAATTATAATAGGGCCGGCCCCATGGCTTAGTGGTTAAGTGCGCGCGCTCCGCCACTGG